GGCTACCCAGGGTCCAGCTGCCTCACCCGCTGCCCGCAGCCTACCTCCCGGGCCACTCAGCGCCTCACTGAGTTGCTGGCGTGACTCAGAGGCCCAGCCTCCCGCAGCCTTCATCGCCAGGCTGCAGCTCCCTGCCACCCCCAGCCCCTAGCACCCCAGCTAGGTCCGTTCTACCTCCTAAGCCTCTCTGAGCTCCTGCACTTGTCTCCCCCTCCCCAGCCTCCTTGGAGAAGTGGCTCCAGGGCTGGGAGTGAGGCCTCAGTGTGACAAGCAGGGCAAGCTGGAGTCCAGATACCTGGGAGTGTGTGATCAGCATTTTCTGTTCTGTGTTCTCAGAGCTCACTGGCCCTGTGGCCGGAAACATGCCTGACCCTGAGCAGGGGTGCCGAGCAGTGCCCAGCAGGGTAGGGGTGTCCCCTTACCTAGGCAGGGCAGGCCGGGGCCTTGGGTCCGATACCCTCGGGGGCATCTGCAGTGGAAGCTGCCCTGGGTGTTCTCACAGAGCTGGCTGTAATGACACTTGTCCAGCTGTTCCAGGCATTCGTCAACATCTGGGGGGCAGGTGCGTGGTCAGGGGCAGAGCTTAGCCCAGACCCCTCCCTCATGTGGTGTACCACCGCTGTGCCCTTCTGACTTCACTGCCGCCAGGCCAGATGCCAGAGCTCACACCATCCCTGCCAGTTACGCCAGGCAGAGACTGGGAGGGCTCCGGGTCCAAGAGAAGGAGAGGCTTCACAGGTGGGGGCCACGCTCTGCCATATTCTAGTCCTAGGGCGAGTGCGTCTCGCTCTCTGAGCCTCAGTTTCCTCATCTGTAGAGGGGGCAAGGACGGGCCCTCTCCCTGGAGCCATGGTGAGGAGGAATCAGGTTATACTGCGAGCACCCAGGAGCCTGGCGTGCGGGAAGAGACTAAAGAAACGGCCAGAAACGAGGAGGGCAGGAGGCAGGAGAGCCCTGGGTGCTCAGGGTCTGCTGAGGGTCCCAAGGCCCTCCGAGGTAGATGGCTGCCTCCTCTGGGTCGAGCCCACCGTGCGTCCCCTGCAATGGACAGCCTCCTCGGAGGAGCCAGCTGGACCCACAGCCATGACACCATAGAACACAAGAGCAGGAGGGGCCCTAGATGTCCTCTGTCCAGGGCTGGCACTGGCTTCATCTCAACAGGTAATTGCAGCTGGCCCGTGGTGGCTGCCAGGGGGGCTGTGCTGAGAACTCAGGCTGCCTCTAGGCTGGGTATGACCCACGATAGGAAAGAGGGAAGAGGCAGGGGCAGTCTTGCCATCCACACCTGGTCCCCTCTTCACCAGATAAATAGGAACCTGAGGCCCAAGAGGGAAAGGCGCCAGTCACAGGGCGCTCAGGCTGCTGGGCCTGGCTGGGCCACATCCGGGCTTCTGGAGCCCCAGCTCAGCTGTCCCCCGCCTCTCTGTGCCCTTCCTGCCAAGACATTCCAGTCTCCCTGGAAGCCCGGACCCCCGTGACACACAGGCCCCCATCAGCTGAACCTGGCCACCTGGGGCTACACAGGTGTGCGATGGGCCCACGCGTGCCCCTAACCTTTACAGCTGGCCCCATCAGCAGCCGCGCGGAAGCCAGGCTGGCAGCTGGGGAGGCAGTGGAAAGTCCCCAGCAGGTTCACACAGCGCTGTCCCTCCTGACAGAGGTGGGTGTCCCATGCACACTCGTCCACATCTGGGGGGCAGACAGGCAGACGGCTGCACGAACCCGGCCGCAGGCCATCCCCCGCCCCCTCAGGCTTCAGCCCCAGGCCCAGGAGCCTCCTGTGTGAAGGCCTCCACCTCTCCTACTAGCTCATCCCAGCGTCCTGCCTCCCCCCTCCCCAAGACTCAGAGCCCACTCGAGGGCCCTGAGGGCTTCGACCTGCAGCTTCTGGTACAAGGTGACAATGTCTCCATGGAGACCAGGCAGTGCCAGGCCCCTCCGGTGGGCATGGAGTGAGGCAGATGGGATCAGCACTAGGAAGTCCTTGGGCCAGACTTGCTATCTAGTCACCTCCCGGAGGGGTCACATGGGCCACGAGGCAAAGGCCCATCGGTGTGCTCGCCCACCCCAGTGGCCTGAGCGTGGGGCACTCCTGAGGCCCTGTGCTGGTATAGCGGTGTGACTGCCATGAGCACGTGGTGACCTACGTATGTGTCTGGGGATCCCCGCCCCTCCATACCTGCACCCCTCCCACCTGCAGCCCTCGTGCTGCCAGGACAGGGCACTGAAACCCCAGGTTGGCATCCGATGCCTTCAGGCACAGGCTACCTCGGGAGGTGTGAACCTGGGGCCCTCCTGCAGGCCTGGCCAGGTCTGGGCAGCACCGCTTGGCCTGGGAGCTACTCACCCATGCAGTTCCTGTCGTCCCAGGCCAGGGCGAAGCCGGCCGGGCAGGAGCAGGAGAAGCGGCCAGGTGCGTTGTGGCAGGAGTGGGAGCAGGGGCTGGGGCCATCCGAACACTCGTCCCTGTCTGGGGGCGGGGAGGGGACTGGTGGTCTGCGCTCACAGGCCCTCCTGCCTGCTGGCTGGACAGAGCACCCATCCCACATCCATGCTGGGGTGGGGGTTGCTTACCCACGCAAAACTCTCCCTGGGGGTCCAGGTCAAAGCCCTCAGGGCAGCCAGCGTCATCGTCCTCTGCAAGGCAAAAGGGGTGGCCCTAAGGACACAAGTGCACACATTTCCAAGGCTGCCCCAGCCACAGCCCTGGCTGGCAGCTGGCAGCCAGCTCTGCCAGGCAGCCCCCCACCCCCGCCCCCAGCGGAGCTCTGGCCAGTCCTGAGCCGGGCTCTGCCAGCTCGCCCCCTCGGGCCATCGGAGTGTGCTGTGGAACTTGCTCAGTCATGCCTGTGCTCCCTGAGGGGCTCCTGTGGGCGGGGCAGTGAATTAAGAAGGTAAGGCGCAGGTCACCGGGCAGAGCGCTGCTGAGCACCAGCAGCTGCGCTCGGCGGTGTACATGGGCGAGCGGTGGCATTTGATGGCGGCAGGATTAGAGGCAGGGTGGGCACACGGGGTTCTGGAGACAGGAAAGAGCCAGGCAGCCTAAGTAACCTACGGACGGCCACCTGGTCTCGGTGCCAGGCTAGGGTGTAGAGAGCCCTTCTAGTGCCGATACCCGCAAGGGAGGCAGTGTCACGCACACTGTGCAGACCGGGACACAGAGGCTCAGGGAGGGCCAGGGAACCGCCCCCAGGGTGCCGCAGCTGGAAGTGATGCAGTTGGTATTCGGGCAGGGTCTGCCTGGCCTTGAAGCCTTGCCCTTACCAATGTCCCTTGCCCTGTTAAAACTGTTTTGGGACCTTGAATAACGAGAGCACATGTCTTTAACATCACTGGTTGGAAACACTGGCGTGTTCAGTGAGTCTCCAGGGTTCCCACGGTAGCTCCTGGCCCTGGGGGTTTCTGGTACAGCACCCTCGGGTTAAGAGGGTAAGTGTGGGGACCAGCAGATGGCGTCGTGGTTATGTTACTAGACTCCTACATAGCCAGCCATGGTTCAAGTCCTGGACCTGGTGGCTTAAAACTCAAGCAGGGTGTGCGTGCGTGCCCAAGATCCCGAGAGGAGAATGAAGGAGAAGGGATTGCGATGTGGCCATCCCCTCTGGGGGTGATTTCTCTCTCTCTGTCTCTCTGGTGAGTGCACGTGCCCTATAGCAAAAATCTCTTAGGGAAAAAAAAAGAGGGTGAGTGTGGTTCAGCTCATGGACATCAGCAGGGGGCCCTGGACCTTCACTCTGGAGCCTGGGAAGGGCCCTGGGACTTTGAACAAGGGAGGCCTGGAAAGCTGTGTCCCTGGAGTGGGGATGGGTGGGTTGGCGGGGCAGGGGTGCTGGTAGGGCGACAGACCAGGAGCTGGATGTAGGGGTGAGGTTGCGCATCTGGGCCCCTGGCAGTTTTCGGCTGTGACAGTGAGGGGTGGAGACAAAGGATGAGGCCTTACCGGCTTGCAGGGCCGTGGAGAGCTGGAAGCGCAGGGCCTCGGTCCCGGGGTCGAAGACCGCGCTGACGGCTGAGGCCTGCAGGTGCTGCACCAGCTGGGGCTGCGGGCCCCGCTCCGCCGCGTACTGGATGCTGTGGTTGCAACGTAGGAGTGTGGGGCGGCCGCCCAGGAGGAAGCGCTGCTGGGAGTCCACGAGCAGCTGGCCTGGTCCCGTCTGCACATAGCGCTCCTGGAAGTCCTGAAGGAGGAGGAGAACAGCCGGAGCCGAAGCCCCATCTCAGGGGGCTGGGGGAAGACCTGGGCGAGCCTCTCCTCTGACGAGCTGGGCAGCCTGGGCAGCCGGCCTGTCCCCAGTGCTCATGCCTGGGGAATGGGAGAACGCACCGTCTCGAAGCAGCCGGGTCCATGGCGTCCTCCCCTGGGCTCCCAGGCGAGGCCCGGGGAACCTGCTAGTCCTAGGTAGGATGACAACCAGCCCTGGCTGGGGTGTCAGGAAGGGGGCCTGTAGCTGGAGGACAGCTGCCTCTCATCCACCTGTCTGCCCACCGGGGTATGGCCCGCACCTGCAGCTGGAGGTCCGCGTCAGCCAGGCTCTCAGGGATGAGGCCATTGACCAGGACATCGAGGAGCACCAGGCCATCGGGATCCAGGCCACGGGCCACCTGGGTCATGGTGAGCAGTTCCCCTGCAATCCAGTCACACCGCCCAGAGTCACCACGGGGGAGGCTCTGCGCTCAGGCTTCAGCCCTACCTGGCCCACTGCAGTCCCTACTCACCTGTAGTAAACTCCACGTGCGATTCCTGCCGGAAGCGGCCACCCGTCAGGGAGTGGCCATTCAGGGCCTCCCCAGTCTCTCCAGCCAGGGCCCAGTAGACAGGGGCAATGGTGACCACGAGTGCCCGCATCAGCGGCCCTGGACATGGCAGGGCACAGAGGCCTGGTTCTGCTGGATCCTTGGGGCAGACACTCCCCTGCTCAAGGTCCCTCCATGGCTCCCAGTGCCCCTGGAGGAGCTCAGCCTGTCTCCTCCCTCCTGACTATGACACCAGTTACTTAACCAGGCCCTGGAAATGGTGAAGGTAAATATCTACTTCCCAGAGTAGTTGTGAAAAAAAAAGTTCAATTGCCAGAGGGAGCGTGTACTCAGCAGAGAGACGAGAGGCGTGGTCGCACCACACCCCTTCCCTCCGTTACTCTCCGTCGGGATTCAGGGCATCGCGTACAAGAACCGGGAGTGTTTCTTGTCGCCAGGTCGGCTGTGAGCCACGGTCAACCATACGCGTTCTAGCGTCCTAACCACCAGGCCCTGGGCTGGCCTGTAAGAAGTTCTCAAGTTTTTTTAAATTGTTTTTTTATTGACAGAGAACACATAAACTTGTCAGAGGGAGAGAGAAAAGAAAGCATCCCTCCCCGAATGGGATAGGCTATGCTGCAATCCTTTTTCCTCTGTTCCTCCTCCCTGTCGGGATTCTGGACACACACACGTGCTTGGCATGTTTTTCAAGCTGCCGGGGCTGGGATTCGCACCATGCTCAGAGGTGGGATCCTGCACCCTTAGCCGCTGTGCTGTGGGCGGGTCAAAGAAGTGCCTGTAATTTGTTGATATTCAACTCAAGTCAACAAATACAGACGGGAGGACCACTGGGTCAGCACGGAGCCCTCTTTGTGATGGAGAAAGCTGGGGCTCAGAGAGGTCAGGTCACAGGTCCAGGGGCACACGGCCATCATCACCTACTTGCTGAACCAGACTGAAAACCACCGTTTCCTAGCTTGCAGGTACCTTCTGGAAAAGTCCAGGATGCGGAGGGTTATTCCAGATCATTGACTTAGAAAAAAGAGCCAAAACCTTGCCCCGGGCGTGGATTCCCAGACCTTCACGTGATGCCTGTGTCTCTATAGGACCAGGAGGGGCCACGGCCTGGACAAGGGGTGGAGCACTGCCTGCTCCCCGGCTCGGGTCAGGGTGGTGGCGGCACCAGATGCTAGTGGGAGGGCCTGGGGGCCTGTACACGGGCAGAACCTTCTCAGCCTCTCTGCCCTCTTCCACAGAACCGAGCCTGGCCTCCTGGTGCAGAGCCACATGTTCTCCCAGGCGCTGCGGCGGGAGTGAGTGCCTGTCTGCACAGCATCCGGCCCCGTGTGCTCTCTGCTGACGGCCAGCTTGAGTGACCGCTGGCCGACATCCCCTGACGCTGCACAGGACGGAGGTCAAAGGCAGCGCACAGGGGCTGCTTTAGTGAAGACCTGTCTGCACTGCCCTGTCCTCCACCCTGTCAGCACTGCCCTCTCCTTGCTGCGTACCTGGAAAGGTCCATTTTAACAGGGCTCACTAGTCTCCAGAATGTTCTGTTTGCTCAGGACATACTATCTTATGAGTCTGTAGGCAAGTGGACATTTCTTGGTTGGGTGGTGTGGAGGTTAAGGTGGCTGGACCTCACGCTGCTGTGTAGTTCGAGTCCTAGACCTAGTGGTTTGAAAAACATGCCAGGCATGTGTGGAGGCATGCCCAAAATCCTGAGAGGAGAATGAAGGAGAAGGGACTGTGGCATGGCCATTGCTCCTGGAGGTGATTTTTCACTTTCCCTCTCTTTCTCTCTTTTTCTGGTCAGCACATATACCCTATGGCAAAAATCTAAAAAAATCTAAAAAAGCCAAAACCAAAACCAAACTTGGTTCTCTAGGTTTTGTAGCTAGCATGGTTCTCCGTGTTTCCTTGCCTGACCCCTCCAGCCCGTGTCCCTGAGTCTTCACTGTCGACCCTTCACCTTTCCAGTGGCCCTGGCCTTAGCAGCAGCAATAGGGCCCTGAGCTCCCACCTCCACACATACACACCCACCCCGGGTGTCTCGAGTTACACGCTGTCACAGCCCTGCAGCCCTGTGGGGTTGGGAGGTGCAGAGGAAGCCACCTACACCTAAGCCCACCCTAACTTGGACCCAGAGATCATGCTGTCCAGGAGGCAGACCTCGAGCAGCCCTCGGAGTGCAGGCATGGCTCCTCCTGGCCCAGCGTACATCCGGGACGACTGGGCCTGGGACCATGGCCCAGCTGCCTGGGACCCTCTGGCCCCACTTACCCACACTGGCTGGGACGCGGCTGATACTGCTCCGGATCGTGGCGGCCCCAGAACGCGCCTCTTGTTGCACGCTGGTGCTGAGAGTGGCCACGCCGAACTCCTGGCCGTTGATCACCCCGATCATGCTGCCCCGGCTCCCCCGGGGCTCCCCTGGGAGGAAGGAAGAGAACCACAGTGGTACTCATTATCCACCCGGAGCCCACAGAGCAGGCAGGCGCCGTCAGCCCCATTTCAGGGGTAAACTGAGGCTCAGAAGAAACGTGTCCAAGGACACATAACGAATGAGTGACAGACTCAATGCCCAGGGGGTCCTGGCCCCTAAAGAGAAGGTGGCTGTGAGAAGGTGCCAGGAGCTGGGGAGAGGTGCTCTGCTAACTCCCTTGAGACCTGGGCGTGCCCGACCCAAGCCACACCCGAGGTGGCCTCTCGTAAAATGAGGAGGTGGGCCACACACACGTGGAAGACCAGGGGCGCACAGGAACATGGCGGGGCACACAGGAACACCTGCACTCCACCAGCAGCCCTGTCTCTGCCATGCATCTGGCTGGGTGGGGCTGGGGTCCTCACAGCCGCCAGGCAGTCTGACAGCAGACTCGAGCACTAATCAAATGGATGACGCAGGCGCAGGCGTGGGGGTACTTCCTCTGCCTAATGGGCTCATCTGAGCAGACGGCACCCAGGGGGCGAGAGACAGCAGTTTGCCTTTCCTCCCAGCAGCTCTCAGGGGAAATTAACATCAAACTGCCCAGGATCTGTCAAAAAATAACATGGAACACTCCTCTGCCAGGCCCCTAAATGGGTAAGTCAGGAGGCTGCTGCGTGGATTCCAGGAAGCAGTGCCAATTCCTGCAGCCCACAGCTGGGGGCTGATGGGATCCGATGGCCATCTGGCATGTTTCTCAAGGTCAGTACCCACTGCCCTGAGGTTTATGGGAAGGGCAGGAGGAAGGCCACGGACTTGGCACTGGGCTTCCATGAGGGGATGAGGATGGAGATGGGAGCAGCAGCTAAGGCAGGACTTGAGCGAGTCCTTTGGAGGGGACAGGAAGGGCACGGCAAGGGGACAGGAAATCCCAGCCCAGGAGTGGCAAGCCATGTCAACCTCCGAGGTGTGGGGAGGATCACAGCCTTGCGTTGCCCACAGGGCGAGGGTCAGGACCCTCAGGCTGATGGGGAAGGAGAGAGGAAGCGGCGGCGGTTGGGGGGGGGCTGGTTGATCGGGGCCTCCAAAACTTTGAGTCCCCCTTTCCTTCCCAAGACCCCTGGAGGAATTTGTCCTAAAGAATATTCAGGCCATTGCACAGAGATGGGCCACCGAGTGGCTTGTGAAGCGGACACTGGAGAAATAAACTACAGTGCTTATTTAAAAGACAACAGAAATGAAGAGTAAAGAACATTCCTGAGACCAGCAGAAAGGGGGGCCTCGGTCTTTCATCGGGGAGTGGGCAAGGCAAGCAGCAGGTCAGGAAGACAACCGTAGGGCCGGCCCCATCACCTGGCAGTTAAGGCGGCTGGCTCCCACATGGGCGACAGCGTGGTTTGAACCCCAGTCCCTGTGGCTTGAAAAACATGCTGGGCACATGTGTGTGCATGCCCCAGCCCTGACAGCACGGAGAAGTGGAGGAGAGGGCCTGCAGCGTGACCACATCCCATTAGGAGATGCTTCCTCCTCTTTACTCTGGCGAGTGCATGCACCTGCTGGCAAATAAAAATACTGATAAAAAGACAACTGTAGGGGCCAACAGGCGGTGTGGTGGTTAAGGAGCAGGACCTCCACATGGCCGACTGTGGTTTGGTCCCAGCCCCGGTGGTTTGAAAATCACACCGGGCACATGTGCGTGTGTTCCTGAAGTCCTGAGAGGAGAATGGAGAAATGATGGCATGGCCGTCCCCCTGGGTAAGACTTCTCACTCTCCCTCTCTCTGTCTGTCTCTGATGAGCTCAAGTGCCCTATAGAAACAGCCTAAAAAAAAAAAAAAAACAAAGCAAACAAGAAAACCCTGGAAATCGGACCTCACTTATAAAAAGAAGAAGTGCACCTCTGTACAGGCAGAGAAGTGCGGAGATACGCCCCGAGCCCTCGCCTGGCTATTCTGGGTAAGGAGCCTATGGGGTTAGTCACATCGTTCTTTGCCGATTTCTGTGTCATCTGGCCTTCCTACAGTGAGCACATGTGAGGACAAAGAGTTGTTTCCATTCGAAAAGAAGGAGGCTGTTCTGGGCTGAACTGTGTCCCCCGCCCCAGTTCACACGCTGAACTCCTTACCCGGGACCTCCGGATGTGAGTTTATTTGAAGACACGGTTTTTTCAGGGAAAACAAAACAAAAAACAAGTCAAAATGAGGTCATTAGGGTAAGCCCAAACCCAGGATGACTGGTGTCCTTACCAAAAGGGGAAATTTATGGCTGGCCCCATGGCCTGGTGGTTAAGGGAGCTGAATCCCACATGGCCAGTCACAGTTCAAGTCCTGTATGTGGCTTGAGAAACAGGCCAGGCATGTGTGCACGCATGCCCCAGATCCCGGCAGGATGGAGAAATGGGAGGCATCCCCATGGGGTGCTTTCTCCTGCTCCCTCTCCCTCTCCGCTGTCTCTCTCTGGTGAGCACACGTGCTCTCTGGCCAACTAAGGAAAAGAAGGGGGTGGGACTCAGAGAGAGAGAGCCCAGGAAGAGTGCCACATGAAAATGAAGCCAGAAATCAGGGTGATACTTCTGTAAGCCAGGGAACCCCAAAGATGACCAGCAAGCCTCCAGGAGCCAGGGAGTAGCCTCAGCCCAGTTCTTATTATAGACCTCAGAGGAGAACGATCCTGCCATTGATGTCGCCATCTTGGATTTCTCACACAATAAATGGATGGTATTTAGGCCCCTCTTTGTGGCCCTACGGAGTGAATTCAGAGGCCACATGCAGAGCTTTGTGATCTGGACCAGCGGCTCATCAACAGGCAAAGGCAGAACCGGAATCGAGCTCTGAAATAGGACCAGGGTCTGCTCAGGCCTGGAGCTCCCCATGAGACTGCCTCACTGGCTGGGAGTCAGAGAACCCCTAAACTGTCAGAGCAGCATCTATTGGCATCTTGCCCCTGCTCACAGGAGACGGGGAGTCTAGGGGCCAGTAAGGGTGTCCCCCAAGTCTCAGTTCCAATTACTCAAGGGGTGCTGCCTGAAGAAGGGGTCTACGCAAAGAGTCTGATGTGTGTGGTGATAGATTAGTGATGTCTGCTGTGGAAAGGGAAGGGGACTGAAGTCACGTGCGGAGTACATGCTACAGAGGGCATGGGCCTTTCAGCAATTGTGTTCCATGACTTTCCTCTGCACAGGTCAGGAGCCACAAAGTCACTGTGGTTTCTCGGGCTAGTTTTTTTCCTCACTTTGAAGCATGGTCTGACCTAAGAGAGGAGGGAGTTGACTGTGGAAACCTGAGATGGCGGGGTTGGTGGTACCGGGATGCACCCCAACCACCAGGTGACGGGGCCATGCAGGCAACACAAGCTGGTAAGGATGCTGCCTCCCATTCTAAGGCAAGGCCTGGACTGGGAAGAAACTGAGGCAAGGCCCAGTCTACGAGCTCTCCCTTGTGTCCTTGAACTGGCCGGTATTCAATTTCTCTGCCGTGAGTTTTACTGTTATTACGGTACCCTGCAAGGGTAAACCATCACCCCCAATCATTGCAATAAAGCCAATTAGTGATCTTATAGGAATGTGGTTCCCTAAGACTGACAGGAGGACCAGGAAGTTTAAGACTCCCCCACCTGTCTGTTTTTAAGCCAAAATTAACATATAGATTAAGTTAGTATAAACCAAATTAGCATTAGAAGCATATGTAGACTAAGTTAGTTTAAGGTTAGTTTTACTTACATACCCCTTGTTAAAGCTACAGGCCAAAGTTAACTCACACTAGCAAAGTCAGCACATTCAACACATAACAGAGACTCAGAGATAAAACAACAGAACTCACTAATTGACAAGACTCAACAAACAAAATGCAGGAACCCACAGATTTATTAGAGGAAAAAGCCTGGATGGGACAACAGAATAAACAAAGCTGAGGGCTCCACAGAAAGATTAACCATTTTAGCTGGGAGTTCTTATCTAAAGCAACAGGTAGCTTTCAACTACAAAGAGTTTCTCATCTATGTGCTGTTGACCATGAAAAACTGCTAATAAAACATCCTATGTTGTCTCCTGAGATACAAGATCATCTTCCTTTCCCACATAAATCACAGACTCACCCTCTATTGTTGTAATGTATAGATAGTCCATATATTAACTGTGTCTTTACTTAGCAAGACAAGATTTCCATCTAGGTCATTGTAACCAGCAACGTTATCGCCCTGGCCCGGGACTGAAGTTGTCAAACATCCTGCAAGCCCCCTCTTCAAAAGACTCTTCCCAGTAATCAAGATCCAAGAAGAAGATACAGCAGACAAATGGACTTCCTCATCCTGAGAACTGTGATTGACTTTGCCTGAGCTAACAAGACAAACAGCATGTTTTATAATTATTGCTTCCATGCTTTGTATACCCTGTTCCTTAGAGTAAATCTTTTACTGCCCCTCACCCATTTACTTGCATGTATCACATTTTCAATAAAAAGGCTCGATGATTCCTAGCAGTTGTCACTCCTCAGAGAGCGATCTCTGGGAGTGTCCGGCTGAGGACGTGCATGAAAAGGCACGAGGCCTTAGTCTTCCTTTCTTTCTAGCGCCGCCTCCATCGAGATAACCCACCCACGCCGAGGCTGGACCCTGGCCACCAGGCGTGTGCGGTGTGAGACAAAGAGGAATCCATAGATCTCATAGCAAGCCCTGAGAGCACCATGGACAGCCCTGCCTCTCTCTGCCTAGCTCACGGGGTTGTGGAGCATCTAAAAGCGCACCCTTATCCTTGCCAACCAAGGGGAACAGCCAGGCCGCCCTGTCCAACCTAAGTGGCAAGACATTTAATGCCCTGAGACTCAGTACCCCCAGTGGTAAGCAGGCAGGTAGATAGGATGACCCATAAGCCCCCCCACCCCTGTTCTCTCTACATTTGTGACCAAAGAGACAAGCTGGGAGCTGGCAGGGCAGCAGATCAGGTCCCCTACAGGCAACACGCAAATCCCCTGTGTGCAGAGGGTCCTGCCCATGTCCCTGAAGGTGTGGGCAGAGGCAGGGACGTGCCGTACCCCTCACGGTCAGGAACGCCCGGGCCGTGGCAGAACCCAGGAGGTTGTGAGCGACGCACTCGTAGGTGCCCGTGTCCCCAGCCTCCACATGCTCCAGCCACAGGCTCCCATCAGGCAGAGTCCGGAGCCGCCGACTGTCCCTCAAGGGTCGGCCCGCCCGTAGCCACTCCACGGTGGGCGCTGGCTCTCCAGCAGCCTGGCATCGCAGGGCCACATCTTCCCCAGATTGCACTGTCATGTCCTGGGGCTCCACCTCGAACACGGGGGCACCTGCGGGAGGCGTGGGCAGATTTGAGAAACGCGAATTGCTTTTACATTTTAGGTACATTAGAAATACAAAGCAGGAGAGAGTGAGGCTCACGAATGACTCCTCCTCTCCCCTCCCAACGATTTCTGCTTCTGTCCTTGACACCTTGTGACAGGACGACTACCTCCTGCACACCCGCCTACCGAAACTCCACGATGGACCACAGCTGCCCTTCCACGACACGGAATACCTGTTTTTAATGACTCTGTTATTCCACTGTTAAAATCTGCCAGCAAGTGACTAGAACTAAAAAGTAACTTCCTGGGACCAGCAGGTGGCGTGATGGTTACGTTGCTGGACTCCCATGTAGTTAACTGTGGTCCAAGTTCTGGACCTGGTGACTTAAAACTCACACCAGACTGGGAATCAGCAGTTAGTATAATGGCTATGTCGCTGGACTTCCACGTAGTCGACCGCGGTTCGCGTCCCGGACCCGGTGGCTTAAACTCACGCCGGGCGCGGAGGAGAATGGCGAGCGCACGCGTCCTATAGCAAAAACCTTTCCAAAAAAAAAACACCACATAACACCAGGGCCAGCTTATGGCCAGTGGTTAGGGTGGCTGGATCCCACCTGGCTGACCATGCAGTTTGAGTCCTGGATCCACAGGCTTTAAAAAATACGCTGGACATGTGTGCATGTCTGCCCAAAATCCCAGAGGGAGGAGAAGGGATTCGGTGCGACCATACCCCATGGAGGGGCTTTCTCACTTTCTATTTCTCTCTCTAGCAAGTGCATACACCCTTTGGCAAATTAAAAAATTAAAAATAAAAGGCAGGACCAGCGGTTGGCCTAGTGGTTATGTCTCTGAACTCCCATGTACTTGACCACGGTTTGAGTCTCAGACCTGGTGGCTTAAACTCACACCAGGCACATGTGCATGCGTGCCCAAGATCCTGAGAGGAGAATGGAGGAGAAGGGATTGCGGCGTGACCATCCCCCCGGGGGGTGATTTCTCGCTTTCTGTCTCTCTGTCTCTCTCTGTCTTTCTGGAGAGTGCATGTGCCCTATAGCAAAAGCCTCTCAAAAAAAAAAAGAAAAAAAAAGAAAAGAAAAAAGCAATACTGAACACATGATCCAAAGTATACAAAACTGATAAATTTGGGTTTAATCAAATTTGACATGTTTTGAGAGACAGAGAGAAAAAAAAGAGACATGGGAACCCCTGACAGGGCCACACCCTGAACCCCCTGGGCCTTTCAGCCACTCAGGATCATGAACACAGCCACAGGAATGCTCAAGGTATTCAGGCTGACCCAAGGACTGAACCCAGCACCTATCCTATAAAGTTCCAGCATGCATGGCAACACCCACCCTACCTCCTGCACCACCACAGTGAGCCAGGACCACACCAAATTTCTTTTCTTTTCTTTTCTTTTTTTAAGAGCATGTGTATTCGCTGGAGAGACAGACAGAAAGTGCGAAATCACCCCCCAGGGGGGATGGCCACGTCTCAATCCCTTCTCCTCCATTCTCCTCTCGGGATCTTGGGTACACACGTATGCACCCGGTGTGAATTTTAACCCACCAAGTCCGGGCCTCAAACTGAAACTGACTATGTGGGAGTCCAGTGATGTAACCATTATGCCATCTGCTGGTCCCTACACCAAATTTGAACACTTTTGCTCTTTAAGGCCCTATCACGAGCACACACAAACAAGCCACAGACCGAGAGAAAACGTTTGTAAATTGTGTCTGATAAAGGGCTCGTATCCACTCCTTATAAAGAGCTCTTCAACTCAGTAATAAGACAAACAACTCAATTAAAACATGGGTCTGGGCCAGCAGGTGGTGTAGTGGTTAAGGCACTGGACTCCTACATAGTCAGCCATGGTTTGAGTCCCGGACCTGGTGGCTTGAAACTCATGCTGGGCATATGTGCCCCAAATCCCAGGAGGAGAAGGGATTATGGTGCAGTGATCCCCCAGGGCGGGGGTAATTTCTCACTTTGTCCCTTTCTGTCTTTCTCTGGCAAGTGTGTGTGCCTATGACAAAAACCTTAAATAAAAAAATTAAAAAGAAAACAAAGAGCTCTTCAACTCAGTAATGACAAGCAACTCAACTAAAACATGGGTCTGGGCTAGCAGGTGGTGTGGAGGTTAAGGCACTGGATCCCCCATGGCTGACGACATGGTCTGAGTCCTGCATCCAGTAGCGTAAACATATACCAGGCACATGTGCGTGTGTGCCCCGAGTCCCACGAGGAGAGTGGAGGAGCAGGGATTGAAGCAGGTCCAATCTCCCGGGGGTGATTTCTCGCTCTCTGTCTCTGACCGCAGCCAGTGCAGGTGCCCTAGAGCAAGCAAGCAGGAACGCAGCACTGACGCGCACTGCAGCGTGGTAAATGAACATGGCACACGAGGGGTGCCGGGACGGAAAGACTGCTCGAGTCTGCTCATGCAAAACTTCCAGAAAAAGTACATCGACTGAGACAGAGAGCAGAAGACAGAGCAGTAACTGCCTGGGGCTGGGGGTGGGAGCAGGTGAACTGTGAAGGGGCAGAGAGACTTCTTAAAACAACTGTGGCCATACTGTCCAACCTGTAAACTTACTAGGTATCACTACACTGCATACTAGCAGCGGGCAAATCTTTTTACTTTATAAAAGTTGTGGTTTAGCAAAACCAAGTAACAAGATATACCATTTAAATGCTCGTGAGTGTCAGTTTGGTAGTGGTGAGTGTGTCACCTTATCGTGTGACCATTCTCCAGGACTCCTCATCCTCCAGAACTGAATCTCTGTACTCCCCAAACAAGCCCACTCCCTTGTCCCAAGGCCACCTCACTCTACTTCCTGTCTCTGAATTTGATGGTTCGAGGTGCTTCCAACCGCTGAATTACAGTGTCTGTCTTCTTGTAACTGTCCTGTTTCACTGAGCATAACGTCCTCAAAGTTCACCCGTGTCATAGCAGGTGTCAGAATGTCTGTCCATCCTTTTTATTTTTTTTTAAGCCAGAAGGCACGTGCTTGCTCACACACACACCCACACACACACACCAGACAGATTCTCTTCCTTTTAAAAGTTAAACAATCGGCTGTGTGAATGGGTGAATTTTATAGTATATAAATTATAGCTCAATAAAGTTTTTTTTTTTTTTTAAATAAAAACAGGGAAAACCAGGGCCAAGAGGTGGCACGGAAATTGAGGCACTGGGTCCCAAATTGCTAGTTTTACTGTCTGAGTCCTGGACCTAGCAGCTTGAGAATCACCCTGGGCATGTGTGCATGTGCCCAAAATCCAGAGAGGAGAATGGAGAAGGGATTGTGGTGTGCCCATGCTCCCTGGAGGTGATTTCTCATGCTCCCTCTCTCCTCGGTGAGTGCAGGCACCCTACAGCAAAAACTAAAAACAAAAACGGAAAGCAGGCAAAACCTGCTGGTTACTGGGGCAGGGGTGGTGTCTAATAGGGGATAAACTGGGGCCTGGGGGCTGGTTCTGTTGTACTGTTTGGGCCGGGAACTGGTGAATGGTGGGTTCACGTGGTAAAGCCCGCCAAGCCGTGCACCAGGACGTGAGATCTCGTCCATGTGCATTCCTCTCGGGTAGGAGGTTTTCCACTGAGAAGACTTGGCAGGTTACCTTGAGGTTCCAATGGCACTTCGTGAAGTATGAGTTGCTTGGCAAACTCTGGCACTGTGCTATGATCTGGTGGCCCTGAGTCTGAAAAGCGGTTCCCGATCTGGCCGTAGGGCCACTGGCTGCTCCCAGCGGACCCGCATCTCATCACACTTGGGAAACACTCCAGCTGTGTGTTCCCAGCAAATATTCAAGAATTCTAAGTCCCCAGCCTTCCCCTCTGCTCCCCATTCTTATCAGACAGCCCAGCTGTGCCTGAGCACCCCTGTCACAAGCCCCCACCCTGCTGAGGACAGAGCCCGGGGCCAAGAGGGTATGTCGAGACTCACTCTGCAGCACGAGGGTCACCACCTTCTTCACGGCACCCACCTCGTTCCCTGCCAGGCACTGGTACTGACCCGCATCGTCCATCTGCAAGTGGGCACAGGAGGGGTGTGGTGCTCAGGGCAGGGGAGACGACCGACCAGACCCAGATCCCTCTATGGGAAGGAGCTGGGAGCAGAAACAGCCAAGGGGCGCTGACTTCCCCACCATGCATCGGAAGGTGCGGGGCCATGTGTTCATAGACGTTCACTGACAATTCAGCCCTCTCACCTCCGGGACCAGGAAGGCACCGACCACTTGCTGGAAAAAGCATGATTTAGATTTGCCACTTCCAAACCGTGCACTGACACGTGAGGGGTCTTCACGTAGTTCATGGAGAATGTGTACTGGAAAAAGCTATGTCTATGTTTGTGCTTGCCTTAGAGCACTTGCACTTGCAGGAGAGAGTCAGGGACACAGAGGGAAAATGAGAAATCACCCTTCCATGGGGATGGCCATGCCGCAGTCCCTTCTCCTCCATTCTCCTCTTGGGATTTTGGGCACGCACATGCACATGCCTGGCATGAATTGCAAGCCTCCGGGTTCGAGACTCAAACTGTGGTCAGCCATGTGGGAACGCAGGACCTTGACCACCATGAGCTTCTCTGCCTCTCTTACTACTGGGATTCCTTGGCACAGTAAATTCCTTGAATAAAAGAGCTCCAGGGTCAACTTAAAATTGGAGAAACACTGAGTTAGGCAACTTGTTTCTGTGCTGTGGGCTTCTCAAGGCCCTTCCGTGCCCTACGCTGCAAGGCTTGGTGGAGGTGGGGAGACAGTTTCTAGCATTTCTCTAGCCTTGGTGGCCCAGGAAGCTTTGCTCACAGGACACCCCTGACCATGGACATGAGATGAACTCAGGAAGACATGGGCCCAGGTCCACTGAGTGTTGGCCCAGGTCCACTGAGTGGCAGTGCAGCTAAGACATGGAGCCTTGGTAGCCTCGCCTGCTCAGTGAGAGGCCCGGTGCCCACAGCTAGGACTTGGGCAGGAGCCATACCGCTGCTGCTGTTACTGCTGCTGTTTGCTCCACTGTCCAAACAACAAGTTCAAATCCCCCACGGTGAACTTGCACCAGAACTGCCTCGCAGATTGCTGCATAGCCACTGGTACTTGAGACACGGTAGAAGTTGAGAGGGGGCTACTTTCCTGACCCCAGGCTTTGGAAACAGCACGGAGCAGGAATCAGGAGACCTGGGGTGGGGTCCCGCCTCCTGCACTTCCTGGCTGTGGGCCTCTCTGAACTTCAGTGTCTTCAGCTGTAAAATGGGGGCACTGTTACCTGCCTACCCTGCCCCCCAGAGTTCGTCACAGTAGTATTTGGGGTGTTACCCACAGACCACTCTGAAATACTCGACGTGGGTCATGTCACTGATTCTCACTAGAAACCTACGAGGCAGAAATACTGACCAGCCCCAGCGAATAGGAGTGGTGACTAAGGTATGGAAAAATTATCGCCAGCTGGAGGTTGCCCGAGGCAGTAGCTGGAGAGTGTCTGTAGACGAGAGGAGGGTGCCAACTGGAAGAACCCGCCTGAGCAGTCGGAAAAGGCCAGGGTCGTCCTGGGCCCATCCCCGTGGCACCC